TATATTATATATAGTATACTATATATATTATATATATATATATATTATATATATATATATACATATATATATTATATATATAATATACATATATATATTATATAACTATATAATATACATATATATAATATATATATACATAATATATAATATAATATATATATATATATGTATATATACATATATATATATTATATATAGATAGATAGATATATGTATATATAGTACATATATATATAATATATTATATATATGTATATATACAATATATATATATATATATTATATATATATACATATATATATATATATAATATATATATCTATATCTATATCTATATCTATATATCTTATCTATCTATCTATCTATCTATCTATCTATCTATCTATCTATCTATTCTATCTATCCTATATATATATATANATATATTATATATTTATATATATATAAATATATTATATATATATATATATATATATATATATATATATATATATATATATATAATATATTTATATATGATATATATGTATAATATATATATATAATATATATATATATGTATATATATATATTATATATATATCATATATATATATATATATATATATATATATATATTATATTTATATATATATGTATAATATTATGTATATATATAATATATATATATTATTATATTTATATAAATATAAATATATTTATATATATAAATATATAATATATATACATATAACATATATAATATATATAATATATATATATATATATATATATATATATATATTTTATATATTATATAACAATAAGAGTGCATCAATACATACATTGTCAGCTTTGCTTTTGTCTCAACTATGTTGTCTACACGTACATTATCAATGAATGTCCACAGAACATTCTGAAATAACACCCAATCAATATCTCTTTGGGGGGGGGGATATCTTCCTACACCCACGCAGAATGGGACAAAACTGATTGATACATGAGTAACAGGTTTGGACCTGCATCTATTTTCAAGTTTATGGTATGTTCTCCAGTAATGTCAAAACTACTTATATCACATGATAATATTCACGAGAATAATTCTGACACTGGGAAGCAAACCAGCATTAATTTTCAGACAACGTGGCAGTTCATGAGCAACAGGGGGAGGGATGTGCTCCTTTCCAATAGGAAAGGTACAAATACATATTCCAGTCTTTGAGATAGAAAGTAGAAACCTATTCCACACTCACTGCAAGACAAAGAAAGAAAATTCCCTTACACCCTATTGTACTTGCACTGCTGCACTGTGCAAGAGTTAACAACAGTTTGTTTTCTCTCCTTCTTACTCTTTTATTTAATATTTATGGGAGTGCTGGAGGCAGGCACAAAGCACTAAATCAAAAAAAAAAAAAAAAAAAAAAAAAAAAAAAAGGTTCAAACTTGTCACACATCTCAATCAATCATGCTATCATGTTGATAGCATCACAATACCTCATTGTCACACTCTGGTTCTAAGTAGGTAATTTCTCTCTGATAGTTATTTCTGCTGAGATATTAATAGAATACCATTTGATATCATGCAAGAATCCTTAGACACACTGTCTGGTGGGCATTGTAGATATTTTCTGAGACGCTTAGCCACCAGGGAGTCAAGGACTTGGTCTATGTGTCCTTCCCTGTTAACCCCATTTTTTGGATTTTCAGGAAAAAAAGTTATTATCTTAATTACTATTATCATCAAAAACTCTATAATGATAAAAAAATAATAAAATTAGTAATGATAGTAATAGTAATAGGAACAAAAACAAGTGAAATGAGGTGGGCTAAGTAACTGACTCCTTGGTGAAAGCATTTGTGGAGCCATCTACATAAAACAAAAGTAATAAAACAAAACCACAGTACATGACTCCAATTGGTTGATACCTTTTCAACCTTGTATCAAATCACCCAAACCAGCACACAAGCCAAGACAGATACCTGTATCAAATGGAAGTATCAAATAACATTCAACCTCATTAAAAAATGGCTGCTGGAGTTAATCCATAAACAAATGGCTAGGAAACACACAGTTGCCAGAGCAAATGGCAATAAAGACACAAATGTATATGACAGAAAAGTATAGTAATCAGTGACAATGTGACAATGAAATTAGAATACTTCAATGATAGACTTTAGGTAACTATCAATCCATATTTGGACATGACATTTTACTATTGATACAGCCTACATACAGAGGTTTTTTGAAAGGTTATTTGTAAAAGGAAAAAAACAAAAACATGAAAGTCTACCTTTGTGAGAGGCTGGGGTATGCCGACTTCTGCATCTTTTTTTTCATGTTATTGACACCCAACCCAGTTTAAACAATGTCTAAATTGTACTTATAAAGAGATATAGGTCTAATCCATGACCAAATACTGGCACACCACCACTTGTCACTTGGTCCAGACCAATCTTACCATTTTACTCTGCTGCATTCAATATCCTTAAAAAAATAAATAAATAAATAAAAAATAAAAAGCAGTTTGTACTTTTGTAATCTTTGTATACCCACATAGAGTACATATCACCAGAGGCCACTTGTCTTTTTCACTAAACTGTTCATTTTTCTATCATTTATTAAAAAGGCTTAATCACAGAAAAAAGTGGCAATCACTAAGTTTTAAAAACAATCTAACTGCCACATATTTCCTTCACTTTCTTGAGATTTACATGTGACTCACTTATCTTAAATAATTTACTTGGAATACATTGGAAAATAACTCTGTATCGCTTACACATCTTACTACATAAGTTTCTCACCATCTTCACAATTACATAAATACCATACACCATGTAGAGTGTGCCTCTGAAACAGGTAGAGAAAGCCCTTCTCTTTATCATTATGATGTCTCTTGCAACTCCCTGATTCTCCGGTTGTAGTTCTCAAGGGTTGTGTGGATGGTCTCACTGGAATACTTGCACTTAACCAAACCACATGTGCAGGTGAAATGCTTGTACTTGATTATCCAGAATTTTTCACCATAGTCAAACCTGTATAAAATTTTAGGATCATTAGTATTTAAGGGTCAATTCTTGTACAAGGAAGGTTGTATATTCATTTCATAAAATATGACAAAAAATTCACACACTAACAATAATAATAATAATAACAATAATAATAATAATAATAATAATAATAATAATAATAATAATAATTATCAGTATAACAGTGACTGTAGCAATAACAATAATAAAAACAATAATAATCAATAAATACATTTTACAAGTCCTGTCTGCAGGAGACTGTTCTAACATGGTCTCTGCCAATTGTATGTGAAATTTTGCCAAAATATACATATGTATATAAACATTTTTTTTTCTTTTGTGCACTGACTGATTATTCGTGCATTATGTGAAATATACCAATTTACACAAGCTTAAAAGTAAGCTCAGAATTCATTCTTTATCAAATGTCAGTGTGAGGCTTGACTTTCCTTTAACGTGTTGATGCCAGGAGACCATTGTTTGCTGTTTTTTTTTTTTTTTTTTTTTTTTTTTTTTTTTTTACATAGAGGGCTCCACAAGCACTTAGTCACTAACAAATCAGTTACCATGCCAACTTGATCTCAAGCTTCATCCATGCAATGGATTCTTGGGAAGAGTTTTCATACAATTATTATCACATCAATATCAATAATGAAAGAGAAAATGAATAATAATAACAATAACTTTTGCAACAATAATATAAGTTATGGAAATATGAACTTTTCTACATAAAAACAGGGAATGGGGTAAACTGGTGAGATTAGATAAAACTGATCAAATAACTGATCTCTTAGTGGCTAAATGTTTGTGGTGCCATCTATGTGTAAATGAAAGTAA